CCTGCTGAAGCAGTGTCGAAACTGGGAGAAGTACTCAGAAGTCCCAGCTCATCTCCTTTGCCACTGTTCCAGGTTTCTTCCCAGATTAATTTTAACCCTAAGAAATGTGTGAGTTTCATAATTCAATGAGGACCATATAGTCTGTGCTCCTCAGCTCAACTTGGGAGAGTGGCAGGTGACCACAGAGGGGCAGTTTGCACAAAGGACTTGATGAGGTTTGTACTAATCCCTGAGCTCAGAGAGAGTGGAATTTGGCTGAGAGACCCTGCTACATGGAAGGGACAGTCAGGAGCCTTCTGGGTGCTTGTCTCCCTTTCCCCTGCATGGCTTGATGGTGCAGAGGTGGTAGAGTCTTACAGAGTCCAGTAGAGTGTAGCACTACCTGCAGGTAGGCTGGGGAGGGTCCTGGACCTGATCCTGCCTGGGACACAACGATGAACACAGGCTGGGGAAAAGGATGCTAGTCCATAGAATCACAGAATGGCTTGGGTGGGAAGGGACTTTTCAAGGGCATCTAGTCCAACCCCCTGCAGTGAGCAGGGACATCTTCAACCACATCAGGTTGCTCACAGACCCGTCCAACCTGACCTTGAATGTTTCTAGGGACGGGGATTCTACCAGCTCTCTGGGCAACCCAGGCCAAGATTTCACCAACCTCATAATAAAAAATTTCTTCCTCACATCCAGTCTAAATCTCCCCTCTTTCAGTTTAAAACCATCACCCCTTGTCCTATCACTACAGGCCCTGTTAAAAAGTCTGTCCCCATCTTTCTCACAGGCCCCATTCAAGTATTTGAAGGTGCAATAAGGTCTCTGGAGCCTTCTCTTCTCCAGGCTGAACAGCCCCAACTCTCTCAGCCTGTCCTCACAGCAGAGCTGTTCCATCCCTCTGACCATTTTTGTGGCCTCCTCTAGACCCACTCCAACAGGTCCATGTCTTTCCTGTGCTGAGAACCCCAGCACTGGAGGCAGCACTGCAGGTGGGGTCTGCATCTGTACATGGAGACCTTTAGGCACTTGGACCCCAAAATGATCCATATTTGCGCAGAAGCTCCCTTTGATTGCAGGTGAGGAGAGGAACGGCTCCTTCCAGCTCATTGTCTGGAAGAGTGGCCATAAGTGTAGAGAAGCTGAGCAGGTGCCTGTCCGTTGGCCAAGGGTTCAGGATTACCATCTCCCTCCTCTGCAGCTACTTGGATCCCTGCCCCATCATCCTGACTGCCTGGGATTTGCACGGGTGGAGTGGATCTTACCCACAAGGATTGTTTTTACGTTTGTATGCGTGTAATGACCAGACATCTTTCAGCAATGAGGTTTTTTTCATTCCATATAGCAACCATATAGTTCTCTTGGAATAATTTAAATGATACAGTACTTTTAAAAACGTGTTTATTTAGGTCAACATGGTAAAGAACACTAAAATGTATGTGGAATAACATCTGCTTTCAAAGATTTATTTATGGAGCAAGCAGCGTTGGGCTGCAGGACTTGTAATCATACGATAATTTTTACCATTTAAGAGTATAGGCCTCATAATGCTCTGTGATATTGGAGACCAATACTCCAAAACCTGAATGGAAATACATAGCTCAATTTGTGAAACGCCACGTTAAGTAATTAAATTCTTTTAATTGCAGGAAGAAACACAGAAGAAGAAGAAGCTATGATGCAGGAGTGGTTCATGCTGGTTAATAAGAAGAATGCCTTAATAAGGCGAATGAACCAGCTTTCTCTTCTGTAAGTACAGCTGGATACGTGTATTTACAAAAGGATGATTTACTGGAATCTTTACCCAGCAGACAGATGCAAAACTTTCTTTTTTTTTCTTCCCATTAGACTTCCAAAATGTTCCCTCAAAAGTTGTGAGTAGCGAGGACGATTTGTGGGCCACATCGAATAACTTGTTTTTCTCATGTTTCAGACTTGAAAATGAGACGTGTGCAATGACACGAGATTAGCCAGAGCTGTGAAAAAAAATAAAATAAAATAAAATAAAATAAAATAAAAAAAAAAAAAAGAAATATTAAGCACAGTTACATTTGCAAAGGCCCAACAGTAGAATAAAATTACATTTTAGAAATGTGCAAATAGATTTGGATTGTGCCTCGGATGAGACAGGTAAAGACTGTTTGGAGAGAGAGCAAAATTTGAGTTGCTTCTGTGGAAATCCTCAATCCCGTGGCTAGTTCGGCAGCACCGAGCTGCTGGAGGGACGTTAGTGAACCGGGCACGGTGAGGTGATACCCCCGACACTGCAAAGAGAGGACAAAGAAACTTATTTCACTAGTGGGGTGAGGAAGGGAAAAGAGGCTGCTGGGTCTGTGAAGCGTTCTGCCCTCAGCGCTTCTCCTCCCGCTTCTTTAGGTTTGAGGATATTTCTTTCAGTAATGCCACCTAGTGTAGATGCCTGCATACTTCCCTGGAAAAACCTCGCTGATTTCTGACCCTGTCTGAACTCCACGGAAGGTTCTACCTTCAAAATACTGAACTTTCTAATCCCCTGTCTTATTTTCAATATTCATTAGGGCAGAATGTATATAGGATCATACTCCCAGTGTTATATTATCTTGGTGAATAGGCTGATGCTGGAGTTTGTTCATTAGATCTGGGGGAATGTTTGATACTTGGGACATTCCACAACAGCTGGAAGGAATATGATGGATGAATATGAAATAATTATGTCCTGTAGCACAACAGAGTCAATTAAAGGATGGAATTAAAGCCAACGTTATAGCGAGTGACAGGACCCCGTTGCTGAATATGCCACCTGAGCAAGGTTTTAAGTTTGTGTATCATCTGTTTGGAGTAGCTTAAAGTTAAAGAGAAAAGTCAGTTATGAGTCCTAAAATCAATGTAAGTTAAAGGTTCTTTTAAGTGTTTAATGATTTAGTAATTAACATATTGATGAACTTTTGCAACTTGCCTAGGGAAAAAGAACATGACCTAGAAAGGCGCTATTTTTTTCCGGGAGCTGAGAGCGATGCTTGCTATCGAAGGTAAGAGCAACGCCGGGTACCGGGGGAAGGAAAATGCTGCAAGTACCAAACATGGAGCTTTATCTGAAGCCCCGTTAAGAATTCACACTGATATTTACATTATATCAAGTGACAGCCCACGACAAATACACCGGCTCTGCCATCCCGTTCTTCACTTTCATTCAAGGGGGAAAAAAAAAACAGTCTAAGATACGGGACAAAAAAATAGGGTCTTCTTGGAATAAACTTTGTAACCAAAGTGATGAGGAGGTAAAGAATATTTATCCAGGTTTATTATTTTTGGTGGCAGTAGCGCTCACCTGGCTTTCCTGCGGCATCGCGCTTGCTTTGGGTGCCGCAGAAAAGGGAAGGGCTGGCCCACAGAAGGGAAGGCAACCTCCTTCCTTGTCATGTTTCAGAGCTGGTTTACAACAGTATCTCACTGGGGGCGGGGAAAAAAAAAACCTCCTCAGTTTTGGTGGTAAAACCCGAGGTTTGCCAAGTAAATATTTCCTCAGAAGCAACACTGGGATTAGTGCGATCCTTTTGCACAGATTTTCTCCCTTCTCTGCGACTCTCCCGCGTTTTAGTCACCTCACCTGAATGGGAACTCGTGGGAAGATTGACACGCGGGATAAACGCAACAATCGCAGCCTTTCCATAGGGCTTTCAAGTGAATTGTACAATAATCCTGGGGATGAGTCATAATAAAAAATAAACATCCAGCTAGCTTAAACCATTGCTTGCATTATTTTCTTATTTAAATATCTTAAGTGTTTTCTAATGCTGCGCTGCTTATACCTCTCAGTCACAAACGCTGTCTTATAGTTCAAAGATGTTTGCTTAAAAGTTAATCCTTTGGGCTCTGTAAAATGGACCTTTTGTCTAATCAATGCAAATTGATTTTGCTATTCTGTATTGACCTCTCAACCCTTTGACTGTCCATGGTAATTTCTTTCTTCACCTGATAAGGTACCTGATCCATAATAAATCAATTCTAATTAGTTTGGAGACTTCACTGGGAGCATAAGTTTGTAAGAAAAAAGCAGCAGGTTTCAGGTAGCTTTTTCCTATCGCTTCCATCTGTGGTTATATTTTTTGCATAAGACTACGTTCACTATATTCCTGGAGTCACAAATATATACGTTGTTTTCTGCAGAGACAAGCCGGTTTAACTGGCTATTATACCAATGAAATATTTAAAACATAAAATACTCTCAAACCAGAGAGAAGTTAAGATTAATATTGGATTAAAAGATGAAATGTCAATGCTTACTTGCCTCTTATATGTTTTACTGACTTGGAAGGTCCCAGAAGCAGCCTGTGCCACTCACACATTGACTTGAACAAAAGTCTGTCCTTTTTAAATATATTTTTTTCTAAGTTCAGAGCGAGATGCCAAAACCCAGGAAAGTACTTTTCCTTTTTTTCCCCTCTTTTTCTTTTTTTTTCTGTTTTTTTTTCTTTTTTTTTCCCTGCTACTGGTGACCTGGTAAGCAGGGGTTTAGGCAGAAAACAAAAGTGTCGGAGAATTTTAGTTATTTTGGGGAGTTTTTTATTTATACAACAAAGTCCTCATTTAGCATTTTAACCTTCAATAACATCATTAGTCTATGAGAACTTTTAGCAACTCTCTGATTTATCTAAAAAAAAAAAAAAAAACCCCAAACACATTAAAGGAGAAACTCTCCCAAGAAAATGCCTCAACAGCTCAAAATAGACATTTGTGACACCTCGCCTCTCGCCGTGTGCCTCAGCGCTGCATCACTTTCCGTCCCCGGCGTACACTGGGTGGCAAAGATGCACTTTTTGGGAAGACACTGGTAAAACTGCACCATTTCTAATATGATTTCCCCACACTGTCTGCTCCGAGGGCGTTTAACCGATTGCTAACGAGCGCTCAGGCTCCGTGCAACAATTTAAAAGACGGATTTCGCTTTTACCGGCATTGATTTCCAAACCTGAACTATAT